TTCAGAGGAGGTTTTTGCTTATCCTCTGAGGCTGAGAGAGTGTGGCTTCCCCAAGGTTACCAAGTAGATTTACTTAGTCTAGCAGGGATTTGAATCCTGGTCTCCAGAGTGATAATTCAACACTCAAACCATACTCTGCTGGCTTGTTGACTCCCCCTTGTAGGGCCAAAACAGACTGCAGAAATAATCCAGTTTAAGACCGCTTTAACTGCCCTGGCTCTATACTCAGGAATTCTGGGAACTGTAGTTTTGTGAGGCATTGAGCCTTCTTTGTCAGAGAGCTATGGTGCCACAACAAACTACAGTTCCCAAAATTCCCTAGCACAGCCAAGGGCAGTTGAAGCGGTCTCAAACCAGATTATTTCTGCAGTCTGTTTTGGCCCTTATAGTATCAAAAAGAATTCTTGGAGGAAAACTTTAGAAATCCATTCAGAGGCTTAGCAAGCTTTAATTTACGTATATGTCATAGGCTTGGTAATTAAATCATATTATTCATATAAATGTAGTGTCATTGTTTTGTAATGTATATTATTAATTAATAATTTTACTAATGTGCATTACAAATGCTATTGTTTTGCCCCCTCAAGTCATTGCCAACTTTAGGCAATCCTAAGGGCAACCTATCACATTGTTTATCCCGGTTTAAAGATAGAAAATAATAGAAAAGGGATGGTTTTATCTGCCCCTCCCTGATGCTGCTACTATATGTTTATTTATTGTTCTGTTTTTATTATTGCTGTTCCCCGCCTCGATTGCATTGCAGAGAGGTGGGTTATAAATAAAATTTATTATTATTATTATTATAATACGTTCAGACCTCTTAGTTGATTTTTTCCCCTTCCACAACTTCTTTTCTTGTGTAAATCCTGGAATTAAAATATGTCAAGTCCAATAGTAATCTTAGTATCCAAAATAAACATTCATGGAGGAAATTTTTTTAGAGATATGCATTAGCCCATAATTTTATTCATAGTAATGTAATACCTATATTAGATCAATTAAAAGATCAGCTATAATATGCAAGAATTTGAACTTCTCATCAAAGTAGATGGTAAACAAAGTCCTTGGAGGGGGATTGTCTGGAGTCCAAACTGTGGAGTCTACCCTCATACATAGGAAATTACAAAGGAAGACTAGAAAGAGAAATTGCTGGATTGAATTACATTCACAAATACCGATCACTTAGCAGAGGTATGTATGAATATACGGCCTCCACTTATTATATTTTAGATTAGATGGGGAAAAAAGAAAAGAGAGCTGGAGTGGGTGAAGCTGCTCTGTCCCAAGAATAAAAAATTTAAGATTTTCTCATCTTGATTTTTAGGACTTGAACTGATAGGATTTCTGTGTGTGCAAAGGCATATCTTTTTTTAAAAAAAATAATTCTTTATTCAACACATATACCAACATAGAAAACATTAAAAACCACCACATTAACATCCCTAAAATATATTTCACTGAACTTCAAACATCCTACTACTATAACATCACCAACATCAAATACACTCCAGTTCATACTCATATTCATAGTTATTAATAGGTATAGTCATATTTTTATCTCCTTTGGGATTATTTAGCCATCTTCATTCATCCCTGTATATGTTTATACAATCCCTCCAAAACCTGTCAAACCCTACCTTCTTCCCTCATATCATCTCTCCTTTTCTTCACTCATCGTACTTCCTTCCCACTTTACACCTTATTTGTTGTTGTTGTGTGCCTTCAAGCTGTTTCCAACATATGGCGATCCTAATGGGGTTTTCTTGGCAAAGTTTCTTCAGAGGGGGGTTGCCATTGCCTTCCCCTGAGGCTGAGAGAGTGTGACTTGCCCAAGGTCACTCTGTGGGTTTACATGGCTGAGCCAGCATTCGAACCCTGGTCTCCAGAGTCATAGTCCAACACGCAAACCCCTGTGCCACACTGGCTCACTATAATCATGTTATTAGCCGTGATAATGCCGACTGCTTTGCTGGGAAAAGGTTCACCTCCCAATTTCTTCTTTATTGCCTAGCATGCTGGTGTTCTCTTACACCTTGTACTCCCCTTTTCTCTCTATTCCTCCTGTTTCCCCCCTTCTTCTATTTCTACTTCTTCCTGCTCTTTCCATCCTCTGCCGCTTCTTTCCGTTTTCATTCTTCAGACCTCACTTATGCGAAGGGATCATGGAGCACCTTTGAGACTTGGAACTGTGCAAAGAAGACTTGGTCTACTTCCTCAGATGCATCACAGACCAAGCCTATAAAAGCTTAGGCTACAACTCCTTTTGCACAGTTAGTCCAAAGGTTTTTAAGGCTGGGGGGGCGTGGATTTCTGTACTTCTGGCCCTGTGTTTCTTGTGAGAATAATAAGCCAATTGCACCGTGGTGGTGGTGGTGGTGGTAGGGCGCTTGGCCTCCCTTGGTGACACTGTGTTATTCTCCTCATGATTAAATGGATATTCAGTTTTGTAAAAAAGTTAGTATCCTTAGGGGAATTGCATACCAAAATTGCATATCATCAGGGGAATATCTCCTAATATAATTCCTGGGACGTGGGAGATCAAGATCAAAGACATCCTTGCAGCAGGCAGCAGGAGAAGATGGGGATCTTGGTTGATGTATATGGCTGTTTACAGTCAGCCCTCAATATCCACGGATATTTTTTATCCACGAATTCAAGCATCCAAGCTTAGAAAATATTTCAAAAATATATAAATTCCAAAAAGCAATCTTTGATTTTACCATTTTATACAAGGGGCACCCATGGGGACCCTATGGATGAGACATCTCCAAGAAGACCCCCTCTCCTCCACTGCTCTGCTTAATCCCTGCAACCCCTTAATACCCAAAGTGATCTCTTTCATAGAGTCCATCCATCTTGCATGTGGCCTTCCTCTCTTTCTACTTCCTTCCACCTTCCCCAGCATTATTGTGGCTTGATCTGCTCTAGGACCCATTTGTTTGTCCTTATGGGTGTCTATGGGATCCTCAGCACTCTTCTCCAGCACCACATCTGAAATGAATTGATTTTCTTCCTATCATCTTTCTTAACTGTTCAGTCTCCAATATCTCTATTATTGTTGTTATTACTTGTTCTTGGGCTTTTCTTGGCAAAATCTCCACAGGGGTTTTGCCATGGCTTTTCTGGGGCTGAGAGAGTGTGCATACATATTTTTTTAAAAAGTTTTTAATTTTTATTTATTTATTTATTTTTGGTGCTTCGGTCCCCCAATTGTCTGAGGGACAGCAACCCGGCCCCAGGCTCAAAAAGGTTGCCTACCCCTGGTGTAGTGGTCTGAGTGTTGGACTAGGACTCTGGGAGACTAGGATTCAAATCTTGGCTTGGTCATGGAAACTCACTGGGCAACCTTAGGCAAGTCACACTCTCTTAGCCTTAGGGAAGGCAATGGCAAACCCCTTCTGAAGAAGCTTACCAAAAAAAAAAAAAAAAAAAAAAAAATCCCACTATAGGGTTGCCTTAAGTCAAAAACGACTTGGAGGCACACAACACACACACAGAAGGCCTTGACAAAACTTAGTAGATCGATTTGTAACATTGGAAATCTGTGCTAAGACATTATCCCAAAATCTTTTGTTTTATTTTAAGGCATCCTAAGAGTTTTGATTTTGAAAAGCCTAATATAGCAAAAAAATGAGAGTCAGTATAGCATAGTGGTCTGAGTGTAGGATTAGCAGACTCTGGGAGACCAGGGTTCAAATCCTGGTTCGGCTATGGAAACCTGATGGATAACCTTGGGCAAGTCACACTCTCTCAGCAAACCCTCCTCTGAAGAAGCTTGCCAAAAACACATCCCATGATAGGTTTGCCTTAGGGTTGTGGAACTTGAAGGGCACACAACAATACAGTATAGCAGAAATCTCAGCCAATGCACACAACTACTGTAGTTGTATGGAGTGTGTTGCTGGAGGAGAAGGCCATCTGTCACAAGGGGTACTTTGATGTGAGTTCCTGCATGGCACAAAGGGGTTAGACTGGATGACCATTGGGGCTTCTTCCAACTCTAGGATTCTAGAGTCTGAGGAGGAGAGTAGGAGAACAGCCTGAGCCCCAGACCCATTCTCCATCGAATGTGGGGGGGACTATTATATTATATTATATTATATTATATTATATTATATTATATTATATTATATTATATTATATTATATTATATTATATTATATTATATTATATTATATTATATTATATTATATTATATTATATTAAATTTTTAAGCCATGGTAAGCCCTGGATGCTTGGATCCACGGATAAAGAATCTGCGGATACGA